TGTTTACTCACGTCCGTTTTGAATATTCGTCCCAAATGGAAACAGAACCAGAGATTGCGTTTATTGAAAACGATATATTCTGAGATCTTCAGAATGGTTGGAAGTAGATTAAGCTAGGCCTAGGCTGATATTTAAGCAACGGCAGCGGGAACCTGAAAGTAGATCTGATCAGTGCAACGAAAGCGTGCGATACAGAGCTCACCGTGGGGAATTGTGTCGGTGCACGCTTTTCGAGTTCATTGAAAGAACGCTAATAGTTAAAGTAAAACTTAATTCTGGAAATGTCCAAGTTGCTTTATCCAATGGAGAAACTTTCCTCAGAGGATAGCTATCACCAACTAATGGCGATGAATGCTAAATCTCGACGGTACACTTGATTGTGTCCGGTGGATAAGGAAGGAAGAAGGAAAAAACCTGACGGTAGTTTAGCTACCTGATCGATAAGCTAAGTCGCTACTTGATTTCTGAACCTTAATTGTTCTGATAGGTATTCCATGGTTACGTACCATGCCTTGATAGTCCTCAATTATACAGGACTGGTTAGAAACTGAACGTATCCTGCTGTTAGTCACCAGCGTAGGGTGAAAGTACTTCTGGTACGTGATTTGATGATCACGTCCAGCTTGAATGGATCTATCAAGAAACTTAGAGAAAAACAAGAGGTAAGAAGAGAAAACTGCCGCTGCGAAACTGTCGGTTGGAGAACCACAACAGTAGCGAATACACTAAAACGCCGGCCAGGATTGGGCACAATTACCAGTCTCGGACGCGAGGACCTAGAGTTCCTCAAAAAACGTCACGCCGCAGGCATCCAAGTCAACAGACTGGGTAGATCTAAAGGCGGCATCACTTTGATAGCGGAGACTGCCCACAGCTGTGACACAAAAGAAAAACGGGATTATCCCTCGGGTATTGCGCCTGAGGACTCCAAGAGTATAAAAGGACTTCAGTCAGAACAGTTACAAGCATAAAGTATTGCAGTCTGGTGTACTAACGCTTGTAGCGTCCGAGGAAAATGGGGCAATTTTGCAGCACACTCCCAGGGATCCGAAATCGTCGGTAATACGGAATCTTGGTTGCAGGAAATGCAAGTTATAGCCTGCCTAGGGGGCTATACTAGTTACCGGCAGGATAGAGTAGACGGCAGACATGACAGTAGTGTGCTAATATTAGTAAAGTCATCGCTCAGCCAGTGGGAAACACAGCTGGTCTTGGTTACCCCTAACATCCTAGCAGTGGGAGTACAATCAATTTCAAGAGGCAGTTGGACGGGGTTTGGACCCAACTGTACCCAGAACTAATATAACAGCGGGGTCTGAGATTATTTAGGGTTGACATGCTACTTGTTTCCCAACTAATCTCTCACAAATATTGTACTGTAAACAGTTTCGTGCCAGAAAACAGTTGCAAGACAGCGACTGAAACGAGTTTGAAGCTTTGGAAGAAGAAACCTTCCTACCACAGCAAGAATCTGGAAACTTGGTTGGCGAAAGCCTTTTCCGTCCTGTGCAACCTGGCACAATCGGAAGTGAAGTTTGGTTCCTATTGAACCTAACTGTGGGGGCTTTGCCCTCTGCCCCATTGGTTGCGCCCCAGCCCCTGGGTGTTTGTGGGATCCCCCCTTGGTTTCGAGCTTCTTTACCGGTTTTGGTCCTACCGGTACCAACAGTTTAGACCTCAAAGGAGTCGAGGAAACCATCGCTGCGTAGCTCGGCTTGCATTGGTATTCCGGTTTCTTAGGAAGACACGGTTCCGTAGAGGTCTTTACGGCGGTTACCTTAAGGATGGCCTTTCCGGTTGCCTTGCTCTTCCCTATCGCGGGTGTATGGCCTTGCTCTGAGGCCTGCCACGTACCCTGCTTTCGGGTATCAGGTGCAGCAGCCGTGAGTCTGCGTGAGATGCACAGCACCGGATGACCATTCTGCTCCAACACAGCTTCCATTCCAACAGGCGATGCGTCCGTGATGACGGTAGAATGTAATCGTGGGGAGAAAGGACGAAAAACAGCACTGGTAGATAAAAAGGAAAGTAAATTCCTCAAGGCACGTTCATGGACCGAAGTCCACCGAAATGTTTGCTGTGACTGTAAATCGAACAATGGAGTAGTTTGGGTTGAAAAGTTAGGGATATACTTGGAATATTATTGTAAAGAACCAATTAAAGAACGAAGTTCATGGAATGACTTGGAAGATGGAGCATTAGTCAACGAAGAAAATCGATTAGGGTCAGGACGAAATCCGGAATCATCAACCAAACAACCTAAACAAGAAAGTTTAGTTGTAGCAAAGGTACATTTATCAGGGTTAATAGAAACATTATGAGAACGGAATCTCTCAAGCAAAGCACTCAAACGTTCGTCATGTAAGTGTCTGCCAGGCGCATGAACAATAATATCGTCCTGATAGGCACATACACCTTGTAAGCCAGAAATGATGGAATTAAGGGTAGTTTGAAAAACAGCAGGGGAAACACTGAGTCCAAACGGTAGACAGTGGTAGCGGAATAAATGAAAAGGTGTGTTAATAGTCGTGAGTTCACGGGACTTTTCATCAAGAGGAATTTGAAGAAATGCATCTTTCAAGTCTAGACTAGAGAAAAATTTGGATTCATGAAGTTGGTGCAGAATGTCTTCTGGTTAGACGGTGGCACAACTAGACTGTTTCAGGTGTTTGTCTACAGTGACTCGATAATCCTCCCATATCCTAGGAGTCTTCCCGTCACGCTTTAGTGGAGTAACAATTGGCATGGCCCAAGCCGAAAAATTTACGGGTGTCAGAACTCCCTTGCTTACCATTTCATCTAACGCCTTTTTTACAGGCTCACGAAGTCCAAGTGGGATAATCCGACGTTTGATAAACACCAGAGAACCGGTCACTTCAAGACTCACAGGAGTCATTTTGATACCACCCTTTACCTTGGAACACTCAAGTATTAAGTGACGAAGACGTGATTGATAGGAGTCAGACATGAATGAAAATGACAGATGCATACGATTCATACAATTGAAACCAATTATCGAAATGTCGGAATCAAAAACCAAAAAGGGGCAGTGAAAGGTTTGTGATTTATCGTCTTTAAGAAGCAGTTCGCATTATTCTAAGACGGGCAAAAAATAACCGGTAATTCCCTTAACTATAATGTCTGATGGGGAAAGTGCACCTGGGGGATTTAACTGATGAAATACCTTGTTGAAAATGAAAGAATCAACACTGCCGGTGTCTATAATGAATGTATGGTGAATAGAGTCATTAATGATGAAGTCGCGAGTAATATGGCGAGAGGGACGTGAACTGGTACTGGCTAGAGTTAAGGACTGCAAATCACACAACAAATCTTTGGAGGAATGGACAGTCGTACGTTTGGTAAGACACGACTTCGCACTTTTACAGACAGATCGGATGTAGCCAAGCTTACCGCAATTGTGACACATGGCATTTCTAAATCTACAGGATAGCCGCGAATGTCTTTGACCACAGGAATTGCACTTGTTCCATCTTTGAATCCATTGGTCATTGCGGGCCGGAGAACTGATGTTGTTTGGTGTTTTCGAGCCCTTTTCGAAAAACCGCCTTCATCGGGATGGTGACTGTTTGGAATTGCTGGCATTGAACAACAAGTTGGATTCATCACAAATAATGGCACGGACGTCTTGGTACTGTTTACAGACTGCCGTAGCCAACTGAAATGTGCAACCGTGCATGAGCAGGAGCTTTTGCTGTAATTCCGGGCAATTATTACCGGCAATTAATCGATCACGTAACTGGGTTTGCAATTGATCTCCGAAGTTGCAACGAGATGCTTGAGTCTGAAGTTGAAGAATAAAGTCACGTACAGGTTGGCTTCCACCACGTGTGAGTCAATGAAATTTGGCTCGTTCAGCAGCTTCGAAATTAGCCGGCTGTAAATGCTTCAGCAGCAAGGTTTTCAGGGATTCATACGACAACGATATAAGGGAGTCAGGAAGTGCCAAATTCTTCAACAATGAGTATGCATCCTTTCCGATGACCGTTAGGAAATAAGCCGTTTTGCGTTCTCCATCGAGTCCTTTCCACGTAATACACCAAATCTCGAACCGTTCAAGATAGTCTTCGACTTCGCGTGCACTGGCATGCATATTCAAGTTCTCCAGATTACAGGACGCCATTGGTTCAAAATGACTGCGACGCCAGTTATTGTGGTTCGTACTCGGACTCGTATTTCGTATACGTATCGGATTCCGCGCACTAATAGTCCGACCCAGAACTAGGACTCGAAACGAAATCAGAATTCAACTCAGAGGCGGAATGGAATTGTAATAGGCGGAAATTAGGAATATGCAAGGATATCGTGTTCAATAAAACAAAAGAATTCATAGTTCATGAGCAATAACCACAATGCAGTATTGCTGAAATGGATGGCTGCGACAGGTAACCGACCGCTGGACGATAATTGATAATGTACGCGTAAAGCTTCAGCAACACTGGGAAAACGTTAGCACCTAAAACGGGCTGAGCAGGGACGCGTTCAGCGAATCAACCAAGCGGGATTATCTAGAGGTTTTTCAAGCAGGGAGTAGATTGAAAATAAAGTCGAGTACGGGCGCCAGAGGGTAATGTGAAAGTGATGTGAAAGTAATGTTACTACACAACATATGCGCAGTTACGAACAGAATTTGTATTGTGTTGTTACTTGTTGTGTATAATAAAACAAGCTGTACAATCATGTCATATAAAAGTAGATAGAAAAGTAAGACATTACACACTAACAGCCAACCATATTTGAGCTACAAATGAGCTACGACACCAATATCTTTGCGCATTTGTAGCCCATTAGTCGGCTACGTTGCGCTGCCTGAGAGATAAATGGTATGCGTGACTGGGGGAAATCAGAAGATTACAGTTGTGATGCAACTGATAAAATAATCAACAATTTCACTTTTGTCACATTGCTTCCATGCAAAAAATAAATACTAGAATCATTGTGGACATAAGGTCCCCAAAGGGTGCTTTCGAGGACTCAAAATGGTTCCACTGTGCTGGTGAGTTAATCGTTTACATTATATTTCAACTTAGCTGTATGTCCAGTTCAGTCCAGTTCATTTTGCACTGGACAGAAAATAGCCACGGCTCCTCTAGCGTCCATAATTTCTTCGGTGGTATTCAGTCAAGTATGGCACCTATCACTGCAAAAAGTAGGCCGTAACTTCCTGGCTGAATAGGCGAAGGAAAGGAAAAGATACCTCATCTTACCTCCAAGGCGAGAGATGTGATATACCTACGTTATTTTCTATTGGGAACAGCCTGAAGTTCAACTAGTTTGGAGATCCAGTCTAGTATAATGGTCAATTAAACCTGTTTTGACTACATATCCAGAAGTCACCACCCAGGTAGCACAACGTAGCACATCGATCGTCTACACAGAGCTACTTATGAGCTACATCAGCTAAATTTGTTAATAAACAATGAAATAAATTCAAGCAGTATTCATAATATTTTTTTGATTTGAAGACTCATTTTCATTCAATCAGAGTGATCGTATTTTTGGAGTCACACTTTTCTGATTTTTGTTTTAATTTACGGCGGAAATGACAGTTGGAGTAACTGTCATCTTGTGCTGGGTTGTCTTTAGCTGCTGCTGTGCATAAGTTCTTATTTTTTAACGTCTATCGTATAGTAGGTAAATTTTGTGATACATTTATTTCATTGTTATTGCTTTTGGTTCAATTATCAAATTTTTCTGATAATTATTTCAGTAATCCTACAAAGACATGTAATTTCATTCTTCTTCAAGTGGTATCCATATCTCGCTGAACATTTTATCGCAACTACGGGTGCAAAGGTTAAGTGTCCTGTTTTTGGCGAAGTAAGTCTTCAGGAACACAGAAAATGTTGTCCAAGATCAATGGGTAAATTGATTGTTAAAAAAAATGTATTTTATTTGTAATGCGTTTTCTTTTATAAATGCAGACCATTTCTGTAGTATTAGGAACAGTATTCGAAATGAGGCTCCAGAATTCGCGCAATACCAATCCCCGAAATAGAACAAATTCAAATCGAATAACACACGTATTTTATTCGGAAAGTATACTATGCATATTCAATGCATTTGAAGTGTACAAGGAAGTTTTTCGAGGTTAGTGTCACACATTATACTCGCCGAACCTTGAATTGACCACAGGATTTCTGTAATCCAGTCGAGGCTACGCACTCAGTCGTTCAGACCTTCGTAGTACTCGTTCATTCACAGGTAATTGTTCCGTAGCAGCTTTTTGTTCAGCATTCTGTTCCTCGGTAGTATCGAGTTGCTCAGTATTTAAAGAAACATTATTAGACTCGGAATTTTCATCATGAAATGGAACTGAGTGACTTGGATTATCAAAGCGAATTTGGTCCACATGTCTTCTGTGTATAGACAAATCATCCTTGTCAAGTAGTTGAAGCATTCTTCGACCTAAAGACTTTAGGACAAGTACCATGGAAAAAATACAACTTCCAAAGAATTAATACACAATAAATTGAATCTCAGATTTTGAACTTTTTAAAGGTTATCAGGTGTTTCTTTAGTAGAGGAATGAACAGAATTGCGACAGTGTAAAAGGAGCAGATCAAAACTTCTTTCAAGTTCAGGAAATGTGGATGGATTCAAAGCAGTAGTAGCACTTTCAAGTGTTCTAACAAACTTCTCTGCTTGTCCATTGGAGCAGGGATGTCTAGGCGCAGTAAAACTATGTTTGCAGCCAATGCTGTGCAGCCATTCTGAAACACTTTGCAGAAAAGTGACTGTCATTATCAGTAACAAGCACAGCAGGGATACCATTCCGACTGAAAACTTTACGCAAAGCATGAATAGTAAAATCTGATGAGGGCGACCTAGTGAAAACTACCTCTGGCCACTTGGAGAAGGAGTCAGTGACAACGAGAGCATACATTCCATTGAGAAATGGACCACAATAATCAGCACGAACACGTTGCCAAGCTACAGTTGAAACAGGCCACAGAACCCACTTGGATGACAACTGTCGAGCTTTTTGGTAGCAGTTGGGGCAGCTCTTTGCTTTGGAACATACGTCGGCATCCATGTTCGGCCACCAACAAGTTAATCAAGCCAATGAATTCATCTTTTCTGTCCCAAGGTGGCCGGGATACAGGTCGTCAAGTACAGCTTTACACAATGTCGGTGGAATAACAACTCTGTCATTCAAGCTCATTAATCCATCAGGCGTAAATGAAAGTTCATCACGCCTAGCATAGTGATATGGAAATCGCGTCCGGGTCTGTGCTTTCCAATCCTTCCGCAAAGCAGTCATCACAGCAGAGAAATAACAACGTGTGTCACGAATAAGTTCTTGGCAGCTCACAGGGAGAGGCTGTACTAATAGTGAATCAGAAATGTCCTCTGGGTCCGAAGCGGGTAGCGATTGATGCGAAATGTAATCCATGTGTCGGATGTATTTGGCACTGCGATGTTCAATTGTGTAATCATATACACTGAGTGAGATACTCCAACGCTAAACCATAGCTTCACAGTTGCTGGAAAGGGAGTTTCCAGGATTGAAAATGAATTTCAAGGTTTCATGATCGGAAACGATGGTGAAATAATGATCGAAAATGGACTAGTGGAGGCGCTTGACTGCCCAACACACAGCTAAGGCTTCGCGATGAGTTTCAGCATAGCCTCATTCAGCTGCTGTTAACCGGCGAGACACACAAATAATTGGATGCCCATTCTGTTCAAGAATGGCACCAATTCAATCAGTAATAACAGTGGAATGAATTTTGCCATTGAATGGGTGAAGTACACCATCAGTCTGCAGAACAGTTAGCAATGCACGTAAGCATTGTTCATGAATATCAGTGGAAACAAATTTTTCAGAGAAAGAGAGGAGAAATAGGAGTGAAGCTTCCGGACTGAAATTAGGGATAAATCTAGAGTAATACTGTAGGGCTCCAATCAATGATCTAAGTTCGTGTATGTTCGACGGTGATTTGGTTTATGTTAGAGCAAATGAACTGTTCGGGCCAGGTTTGTAACCTTTAAGGTCAATTAAGTATCCAAGACATTCAAAATAAGAGACAGGAAATAAATGCTTCTTAGGATTAACAGCAACATTCTTATCAGGAAACCTACGAAAGAGTTCAGGCAATCGTGCGTCATGAGTGGACTTATCAGGAGCATGAATAATAATGTCATCTTTATATACTTCAACACCAGACATACCACTAGTAATGTCATTCATAAATTGTTGGAATATGACAGGAGAAATGGATAAAACAAACGGCAAAACTTGTATCTGTATAAACCAAAAGGGGGTATTAATAGTTGTCAATGTGTAGGAGGTTTCGTCTAACGGAATTTATAAATAAGCATCTTTCAAGTCAATCTTGGAAAACACCTTAGAACCATTTAACTTACTCAGAATGTCCTCTGGTTCAACTGTTATACATGCCTACATCAACAATCTTGGATTTAAGGTGATTCGACACTAGCCATCTATTCTGGGGGTCTTGCCATCCGACTTGAGTGGTGTGACGATTGGTGTACCCTATGCTGAAGATGCCACCTTCTCTATAACACCTTTGGAACACAAGTTGTTCAATGCATTCATAACAGGCTCACGGAGATCATAGGGCATTTGAGAAAAACTGGATCGCCATTAACTGGTAGTTTCACTGGCGAATTTTCATGCCACCATTGGCTTTTGAGCATTTATTAATCAAATCTTTCACTTGATTTTGAGCATTGATAGAAGTTAACAAGGAAAGATTGACATTTAATGCTCGCGTGGTTTTGAAGCCCAGTATGAAGGGGACAGACTTGATTACAATGAATGTACAGATGGCACTTTTAGAATGTTCATCACGGATTGAAATCTCACAAGAACCAACAACAATAAATGAGTATCCACTGATGCCATTTATGGTGGTAGTGGACAGCTGGAGGTTAGTATCTGGAGCAAACCATTTGAAATCATGAACAGAAATTAGAGATTCCACACTACAAGTGTCCAAAAAGAAACGAAGTAAGTTACCAGTAGAAATGAATAGTTGCTTACGACTGTAACCGGAATGAGAGGTAATTGCCAAAGATAAAGAAGAAAAATGTTTGTCTATGTCACACTTCTGTGTCATTGGACTGAATCAAACGAAAAGTTTTGGAACTGCAATA